CCAAACCAGTCTTTTGAGATGCGCTTACCAATAATGTACTTTATTGTCTCGTCACCTTAACTAGTGTTCTTCCCTCGTGAGATATTCAGCTAATCGCATACTGTTTGATTTGAAAAAAATATTATTTCAGAAAACCATCAATGACGCCTGCTAGCGAGAGCAGCGACACCACACCATACGATGGACTACTTTCTCAAAGAAATTTCCATGAAAGGAGACCGTTAGCGTATGATAATGAACTGGAGCGTCAAACTGTTAGTCCTATACAACTTTTTTGCCTTAACTGTCCTCCACAAAACATCCGCCCGCTGAGTCCTACGCAGACGTTGTCTAGAAGTTCTATCCCAGCAAATGTGGAAGCAAGGCCACTCGACGAAATGCCAACGCCGCCTCCACTCAATTTTCGTGATTTCCGTAAGGATGAACATGTGGATTTTGGAGTTCGCCCACAATCAAGAATCCCACCTACAACGTCCATAGATCTATCGATTGTACCATCTACGGCTATTCCATGGCACTCAAGCACAAGTTCACCAACCCTTGTGGTTACCAATCTGGCAACTTGAGCGATAAATACATCCATCTGTCATTATATTGTACGATAAGTAATAATAATGTAATAAAAGATGATAGTATAGCAATAACAGTGTTGCTGGCTTGTTTTATTGATAACAGGATTAAGCAAAGTACAGGTTTTAACTGTCTATTCAAGAAAAAAGGAACGATTGCGGAAAAACTTGATATCCGCTCAGTCCAGTACTTATAAAACTATGACGACCACAATGATTGCAGTGCTGGATTACAATGTTAGCTGTATTTGCTCTCCCAGTGTTTGCATTTAGTGTTTTAGGTAAGTATGTCTTGTATTGTATGTTAACAGACTGCTCCTACCAATAAACAAAACCTAGCAAAGCCCTTGTATAACTTATTAGTAAAGGTTAAGTAAAATGCAAGACCACTAACTGGATTTGACGCCTCTTTTTAAGCCTAAACTACAAGGCAATATGTAATTTTTCCCGAATGTACCATTGTACATCTATACGTCAAAACATCTTTCTGCATAGTAGAATTTCGCATGTTTCTATGTCCTTAGTAGTAAGATGCGTAAGTGCTTAGAGAAAACCGCTTGATTAGATCAAATGAGCTCATGGCACTCACAGTAAGGACAGGAGGGAGAGAGGAAATAGAAGGGGATGGGGGCGGGAGATGCCAAAAAAGGTTGTAACGTTTGCCGTTCATCCTTCACCTCCTCCGATCGTCAGATTGCCTCTGTCACTTTTCTTAGGTTAAGACCCCAAGAAGTAAAATGTGTTTTGAAAAAAAATTTAGATGAAGTATAGGAAAGAGGGGGAGGAGGTGAGCAATACAAGATCTTATCTGCACCAAGAGAGGCGGTAAGTTGTTTGTTAGAAGTAGACGAGGTATAGCCTCACTCATAAGGCATTTCTCCAATGGTTGTCTTCGTAACTGTATAGGGGCATAGAAGTGCTTACGCCTACAGGTGTTTTTGATGAGTTGCACAAAACCTGCACCATCGCACCTATGTGATCATTACCACTATTCGATACATTATCAGGCGCCTTTTGCTTTTTGGCACAAGAGCACTTTTCCCACGCTCAGTTGCGACCCATCAGTGGGTTGTATTGTCCCACATGACACTTTTGAATTAAATTCAGAAAATTATAGCACAACGGGTCTAGAGAGGTGATTGTTGGTCAAATCATTCCTTTTCGCACTTTAGTCTAACCAGGTTTATACGATGTGCTGATTACTAAAATCACTCCATTTCGTGCGAGATTACCTTACCGGTTACGGTGTGTAAAAGCATCAAAATCACGGTTTGATTCCGAAAAGTGGCAGTGAGCGGTGCCATGGTCAAGCTTTCCGAAAGTCAATAATTGATAAACAATATGTTTTGAAATTATCGTATTTGAGTTAGCGTGGTAAACACCTCTACACATGTATTTCCGCAGCTCAGAGGAAAAAATGCAAATATTGCTGGAGGTTTTAGCTCACATTATTTCACGCGGAACGCAGTGTAAAATCTGGTCCAGATCGTAACATTCTCAATAACATTTACGAGAAGGTCTGAGATCTTGTCTTGCCTACGTTGCTACCGAACGTGCACAGTATCCGCATGCGGTTCAGGACCACGATTTCAGCACGGTTTTGATGTCTCCAATTAAATAATAATATTTCGTAGAGTAATGAAACGCAATGTTACTAGGCCTACACGAGCGTCGTACTGTCCCTAACAGCAGATAATCCAATTTGTCTCTACCTACCATATTATTTTGAAGTTTATGCTACACATGTATTCAATACTTACATAAATACTTAGATGGCCTTTTTTACTCGTTGTGCCGACCCCGACATTGTTCATCCATTTCTGTTTCTCACTATCATCCACGATGTTCGTATCGAATTGCGACAACGACGTTCGCGAGGTCCAGATCCATAACTCTTTAGCGGCTGAGAATTCAGCTATCTATTAGTGCAACAAACACGTCAGCCCATCTGGTCGGTGGCCTCCCTAGGACG